GTTTGACAATGCATGTGCATTTCTAACAGAGCAAACAGAATAAGAATTTATTAATAAATAATCAAGTCATGAAAGATGACATATTTGCATTGTAAATATTTGGATAATGAATTACTTTATTTTATTATTTTGTGAAAGACGTCACATGATGGTTTTATAAATCATAAATTAAATCTTTTACAGAGATGTCTGTTCCCGGCAATGTTCCTGGCTGTGTCCACATGGCACTTCTAGATTCCAAGAAAATTGCGGATCCTTATAACAGATTTAATGATGTTCTAAACCGATCTATTGCTCTTGAACCCTGGACATACAGCAGAAAGTTCAATGGTAAGCATGTTCAGAATTATAATATAACCTGATATCGAGTTATAGAGACAAGAATATGTCAATGCAGCAGTAGTTTTATTTTACATGTGTGGATGACTGCATTTGAAAAATTGGAGACTTTATTAAAATAATCCTTTCATCTTAAGCTTTCAGGTGATGCTCAGCTTTCAGGTGGCATTCATATTAAGCATTCAGGTGGCATTCATATTAACCTTTCAGGTGGCATTCATATTAACCTTTTAGGTGGCATTCATATTAAGCTTTCAGGTGGCATTCATATTAAGCTTTCAGGTGGCATTCATATTAAGCATTCAGGTGGCATTCATATTAAGCATTCAGGTGGCATTCATATTAAGCATTCAGGTGGCATTCATATTAAGCATTCAGGTGGCATTCATATTAAGCTTTCAGGTGGCATTCATATTAAGCTTTCAGGTGGCATTCATATTAAGCTTTCAGGTGGCATTCATATTAAGCTTTCAGGTGGCATATATATTAAGCTTTCAGGTGGCATTTATATTAAGCTTTCAGGTGGCATGCATTTCAAGCCATCAGGTGGCAAATATATTAAGCTTTCAGGTGGCATTCATATTTAGCTTTCAGGTGGCATTCATATAAAGCATTTAGGTGACATTCATATCAACTTTTCAGGTGGCATTTATATTAACCTTTCAGGTGACATACATATTACGATTTCTGGTGGCATTCATATTAAGCATTCAGGTGGCATTCATATTAACCTTGCAGGTAGCATTCATATTAACCTTGCAGGTGGCATTCATATTAACCTTTCAGGTGGCATTCATATTAAGCATTCAGGTGGCATTCATATTAAGCATTCAGGTGGCATTCATATTAAGCATTCAGGTGGCATTCATATTAAGCATTCAGGTGGCATTCATATTCAGCAGCATTCAAGTGGCATTCATATTAAGCAGCATTCAGGTGGCATTCATATTAAGCATTCAGGTGGCATTCATATTAAGCATTCAGGTGGCATTCATATTAAGCATTCATATTAAGCATTCAGGTGGCATTCATATTAAGCAGCATTCAGGTGGCATTCATATTAAGCAGCATTCAGGTGGCATTCATATTAAGCAGCATTCAGGTGGCATTCATATTAAGCAGCATTCAGGTGGCATTCATATTAAGCTTTCAGGTGGCATTCATATTAACCTTGCAGGTGGCATTCATATTAACCTTTCAGGTGGCATTAATATAAA